GCAGTGCCTGCATTAGATCCCACTTCCTCTCTGGGAGATGCTGATGTGAGAACAGCGTGATGTCTGCGCACAGCTGACATGCCGGATGGGGTGGAAGGAGCTGGAACCTTTTCTTTTTGCTAAATCCTCCTCTACCCTGGGACCTGTGTTGTGCAGAATGGGTGGAGACTCACAGAAATACTATTGCCTTTGACTTTCAGGCTTTTGATTTGTTGATTTAAGAAAAGGACCCATTTTGCAGCAATTTCCTGTTAGGGCTGTGCTCTGGGCCTGAGGTTCCAGGTGCTTGTGGGACCGAGGGATGTGAAGCCCTGAGAGCTGCCTCTAGCTCCGTCCCTCTGTCCTCCAGTGGCTGCTGAGGCTTCCCGCTAAACTCAACCGGCCTGCTTGGAGAAATCATTTTTTAGTGTCCTATGGACTCTTTTACCAGGAGGAATTGTACAAATGCGTGTGTTTTTATTTTGCTTCTCTTCATCAAAAATCACATAATTCATTTCCACAACAAAGTAATATTAGGAACCCTCCGTGCTCTGAATGCAAGTTGCCTACTGTTACGCAGAAGATCATGATGTCAGGAGTCTCACTTCATGGGTAGTCATCATATTTATATGCCTGCTTTCTCCTAAAAGTGAAAGAGAAGGAGAAAATAAAAACTCTTACTTGTCATGACTGAGAGATACAGAAAATCACTTTGGTAATGTTTTCAATCTTAAAAGGTACCTTTTACCTGCCTAGACTCTAGGGTGTTTCCGAAATGAAGGAAGTGCTTGGAGAATGTGCACAGTGTGAGAGGTCAGAGGAGGAGCTGGGACTCAGAGCTGTCACCTCGCCACCCTGTAAAGAGGGGACCCCGTGCTGAGTGACATGTATGATGACTGACATGAGGCCACTTGTCCTTTTGTACTGTTGCCTGGGCTGTTACCACAGGGTTTCTGACAGTCCCTTCTGATTACTCTAACAGTGGAAAAGAAAAACAACAAGAACAGGATATTGTGCTGTTTAAGAAAAATAGTGTTCCCGTTACACAAGATCTTAATGAGGATTTTTGCCCATCCATTGCTTTGTCCAGTAGGAACTCGACACCTCACGGGGTGTTAGGGTCAGTGGCTGAGAAACCTACAGCTTTGTCCTCTCTGAGCTGTGCTCCAGCTGCTGAGGAGGCGCCACAGACCTGGGGATGTACAGGATAAAGTTATCTGACTCCAAGGTCAAAGGCTTCTGGGCCAGAGGACGGTCAAGCCCAGCTGAGTACCAAATAAACACACTGGGTGGACAGAGGAGAGGGTGGAGGAGGGGGTGGGCAGCAGGGAGAAGTCAGAGCAGAAGGCTGTGGTCATGCTCGACAGCACGTGGACAGGGTGAAGGAGTACGGCCTCTTCTGATGGCAGCATTGGCCCAGGGTCTCCATACCAAATCTATGTCCGGTGGAGTCATTTAAGAAAGTGACTCTCTGCCTGTAAAATGACTCTTTACCTATGAACCTCTGGTAGCTGAGACAAGAGGATTGCAAGTTCAAGCCCAACTTGGGCAAATTAGAGGCTTAGTAAGACCCTGTTTTAATATTTTTTTTTTTTTTTGAAAAGGGCTAAAGATGTAGCTCAGGGCAAAAACCCTTCTTTCCTATTAGTGGGAAAAAAAGTCCTCCCAAAAGCAAAAGTGACTGCCCTAGCTACGGAGAAGAATCTTTCTGGGGAGATGTGAGTCACCATGATTCAGGCTTCTGTTTATCACGAAGCCTGTCAGCCACCCCACGATCTTGTCTTTAAACTCGGAAGCTTACTGAGGCCCTTTTCCAAACTGATTTCTCCCCGGGAAGAATGCAGGTGCCAGCTGCCAAGCACGGATTTTGTAGAAATTACTTGTTGCTTGTCAGAAGTTTTCTTCATGTTAATACTTTGGGTCTCTAGTCCTTATTGTTCTTATTTGTGTGAGCAATGATTAGAAAGTTTTGCAAACGAAACTTAAGCAAAATGGAAATCTCAACGACATGGGGATCCAGTGAGCTCTGTTGGGTCCCAGCCCTGTCAGGTGACAGGGTAAGCAATAATGGAAAAATGTCCCAGTCTCTTTGGTCCCAATGTTTTACATTTTATAAAGAGGAAACACTACCTGTCATGAGGAGCTACTTGCAAAGAATGAAATCAGTGCATGGATGCTGTCATGGTAACAACAGAGGGACGCTGTGCATGGTCACCACTAGACCAGAGGCTGCTGTGAGCCGGAGATCGCGTGAACCTGGCTGCTGTCGGGTTTGCTCTTCCTGTGCTCCCTGCGGTGAGCCAAACACAGTCCTCAACCTCCTCGAGATTCCGTCTTGGGTCTGGACAACAGAGGCAGAGATAGGGATGCCAGAACCGCAGGGGGTTAACTGGCATCTGTATGCTTGGCCCCACTCAGGGTGGATACAAGGGAGCTCTGCCCTCTGTTCCGTCCCCTAGCTGGGTCACCTGGAAACCTACATAACGACGAGGAAGCTTCTAGCACAGAGATGCCTGCCACTTCTCAGGTCCTCCCCTACATCCGCCTCCTGCCCAACGCTCAGACAGCCTTCCTGGGGGCCACCCTCTGCCTCCTCCGCTTGGTACATCCCAAAGACAGACTGTGGCCAGGGAGTTATGGAGGATGAGGACCACTGCAATGCAGTCCACCGCAGAGGCGCCAGCCCAGGAGTGGGATGTGAGCTGAGGCGCCACCAGGGTCCCATGTTCCCCGGAAGATGCCAAGACAGAAGCACCGATGGGAGATTAGGTGGGAGCTCAGGAGATCTGTGCCCCTTCTGCCTGTGTTCTTGCTCTGTGACGAATGGGAAAAGCCAGTTTTAAAAGTCTTTATACTGGGGCATTTAAGAAGGAGGGCACATCAGTGTGTGTGTGTGTGTGTGTGTGTGTGTGTGTACAAGAGAGAGACAGACAGAGACAGAGAGAGAGACAGAGACACAGAGAAAGAGACACAGAGATACAGAGAGACACAGAAAGAGACAGAGAGACAGAGAGAGAGAGAGAGAGAGAAAATTCCTTATGAAGCACATTTAAAATAAGAGGATGTGCATAGAGACACCTAATAACACTATTAGGCATTTCTCAGTTGTATTATTTTAAGTCCAAAATTAGCTTCCACGCCAAGGACTATCCCAAGTGTTCCACAAGGACTAATTCATTCTGGGCCCTGATGACCTTCTCGGTGGCTGCTGTCATTGCTCTCTTTTTCTACTTGAGGCAACTGAGGTCAGAAACTTTCTCCAACTTTCTGGGACCACATATCTTCGAAGTGGAGGAGATGGGTTCAGACCCAGGCTGCTGGGACCTGTCATCTGCAGCACCAACACTGCATTGCGTCTCATCATCAGAATTGCCAAGAATGGCGAGATCAGAAGCACAGCTCCACCCAGAAATATCCACCCAGGACCGCGTGCTGTGGCCAGGCGCCATGGAGGGCTCCCGGAGGGTACTTGGAAGCACTGCAGTGGCATAGCCCTTCACCCCAAAGCGCCTCCAGTGTCCTGTCTCAAGCCCTTCCTTACATGGGTGAAATATCCCCCACTTGGGAGGGCTTAGGGAAGGTGGAGGGGGATGGCTGGTGGTGACACTGCCACTGCTGTGGAGGAGAGGAACAACGGCTGAATCCTCTCCCCTGTCCCGACCCAGCCGGCTGGCTTTTACATATTTTTAGAGGTAGTTAAGCAGGAGCTTCAGAAAGGTCCATCTTGGTGTGTGATCATGCACAGTTATCAGTGCCTCAACAACTTCTCAGCCAAGTGTCACCTCCAGAGGATGTGACCTTGTTGGGTCAGGCACAGACCTCAGGAGATGACATCTGACAGGCTGAAGCCAAGGCAGGAGGCGGGACCACAGACTACTGCATGAGGAGCTGCAAGGGCACTCACAAGGTTGACCTGGGGTCCCCAAAACTAGCTCACATTATCTTAGGACTTCTGTCCTTGCCACGCAGAGCTTTAAAAGTGATCCACATGCAAACGTGTGTTGGTTAGTTTCACTTAGGTTAGTTTCACTTTGGTACGGCACGTGATGTTACACTTTGACATATTGTTTGTAAATGGTTATTGAAGGCTTTGGACATCCTGCTCCACTGATTCATTCATTCATTCATGCATTCATATCTGTCAGTGTTAGGTATGAGGTGTGGAGCTGTGTAATATATTTGAGATAGATGCATGTGCTTGGAAAGATGCATCCGTGAACAAAATAGACAAGAACTTCAGCACCCTGGTTCTTTTAAGTATTTATTTCTTATTGATTGGGTCTTTATTCAGAGGCTGTTATGTGCCCAAAATCATCTTGGGTCCCTACAATGAGCCGGTAGAATAACACACAAAGTTTTTGGAAGCCTCATACACCCTTAAAGCTTAAGGATCTGAGATTAGGTCTGAATGTAACATTGTGCCACTGCTTGGGCATCTGTGCCGGGACTGTCCTTAGGTCTACCGTCTCAGGGATGGCGCTCCTTGGGTCAGAGACTTCGCCTGCAGTCATGGGGCTGTCCCCGAGACTGGATCTGAGTGCAGTAAGGAGAGTTCTTCTGCATAACAGACAGAAATCTGCCTGAGTAACCTGGGGCGCATCTCCTCCCATCTTCCTCCCACCACATTTTAATTCTTGGGATCTGGAAGCCAGCAGTGACACCCCCCAGGGCTCATTTCCAGGCCAGCCTTTGACTTCCTCTGCCTCAGCACTTGGCTTCCTTTCCAGGTTTGCATTTTCACTGCTCCTCTTTTGTCCAAGGTGTGGACTCCTGGGCTCGCTGATTTCCTTTTAGTTGGAGCCAGTGTCTGTGACAATGCATGCGGGCAACAGCAACTGTCTCATGGACTTGGGATTAATTTCTCCACGTTATCATTCTGAGAGTGCAAAATCTCCCAACCATTTGAAGTAGTTCAACTGCCTCTGCATGAAAAAGGACTTGAATTTGTCCACCTTAGGACAGTACAGTATAAAATATAAGTGCATTATAATCACCATGTTTTTATTTGACTTGGTGCTCAGGTTTGGTGATGGTTATACGGTCAAAGTTTGGCTCGCTAAGGAAGAAAATCAACCTAGCACTATTTCTGACTGCTTGAAACTCCACTTTCCAGGAATCCAGTTTAAGGTAATGCTAATATTCTGCTGTACCTCTTGGCTTTTGGCTGAAAACATCTTGCGAGTGTCCTTGTCCTGTTGTAATTATTCATTTTTGTGGTCTTGGGTATGGAATCCAGGGTTTTCACACGGAATTGTATCCCCAGCCCTTTCTATTTTTAAAGTCAGGGCCTCACTGAGTTGCTAAGTTCCCTAGGCTGGGCTTGAACCTGCAGTCCTCCTGCCTCGGCTTCCCAGCATACTGTGACTATAAACCTGGACCACCACATCCGGTTCTTCTTTTTCTGTTTTTATTCTATTGTGTTGCAAGATGCTAGTGGCCATCTTGGCCTCTTTAGGAAGAATTGGCCGTATCTCCTTACCTACCCAAGGTGGCACAGACAGCTACCGTTCCTTGATCAGGCTACAGGATGGCAAGCTTGCCTGGCTGCTTGTTGGATTGCCCAGAGCAGACTACAGTTATGAGTTCACCCCTCTTATCTATGTGCACAGTCCTCATTTAGCCAGGTCACAAGACTACCGAAGTTGGTTTCTTCCATACTTTTGCTCTGGGTTTGTGGGCTTGGAAGTCTGAGCATCATTTTGCAAGAAAGAGATCACACTCTTCTTCAAATGTCATGTGGTTTAGGGAGCGCATGCGGACAGAGCTTCCACCAGGCCTGCCTTCTGCGTAGACCGGCAGAATCTCAGGATCTGAAGTACTGAACCTGATTGTGCATTTTAACCAGGTGACCGGTGCTTCTTACACACACTGCACCTTGAGAAACACTGTCCACAGTGCTTTTGCTCAACTGTGTGATCCTGGTTTATCATAACTGCTAACAGGCAGTAGTTCCCAAAGTAGCTTTTCTCTATTTATCTCGACAACTGTTTGGTGAGGAGGAAGCGTGGAGGAAGTGTGCTGCGCAGAACTCTCGCTCATGCTAAGAACGATCCTATAAAGCAGAAAGCACCGTTTTCCATTGGCTCCCATGAAAGCGAGGACCCGAACAGTCTCAGCCAGAGCTGTTCAGCTAATGGGGAGGCCAGCTGGGAACTAAGCTCATGCCCCGAAGTGCAGTTCAGGGAAGCGCCAGGTACCTGTGCTATGCCACATTGATTTCCTACTGTGGAACTTCTGGAAGCGTTTCTGACCCTTCAAAGCAGTTTAATCCAGGTAAGTGCTGCTTAGAAGCATTCGTCATAGACACACAGAACTAACCTCCGCATCTCCCTGGGGCTTATTGTGCGATTTGAAAGAGAAGTATCTGAGTTTATTCAGAAGATGAAAGTCGTGTGAGCAGCCTTGCTGAGTGATTTCTGACCGTGGGATGTGTTGTTCCCTTTCTGTTTTTGTTTGCAGGGACAGCGCCTTAAATTGTTGGAATATCACGTACCGAAAAGATGGGGGTGCTTAGCTGACTTGTTCAGAGTTCTAGAGAACAATAAGGACTTCTTGCATATCGAGCATTACTCCATTAACGAGACCACGCTGGAACAGGTATCGAACCCGGAGTGATTCGGTGGTACCGTGGTACCTCCTGGGGCCTAGTCCAGTGGAATTCAGAATCAACCAGATTTCGTTTTCAGCTCACCTTTTCTTTTAATTAATCTTGTTCAGTTTTACAGCAGTCTGGTGAGGGTGGTGTGTTAGGAGGTGTGTTTATTGTATGCCCTCCACTCAGTTTGCATATTCAAGTATGGAATATCTTGAATATGTAAATATTGGATATCTGTTTACATACGTAACATTACATAATTATTTACGTATTTATGTGTTTATAATGACAGTGGGCATTCAGGAAATTAAATCATGTCATGGTAACTGTTCTTTCCCACTTTGCCCAGTCCCCAAAAGACTAATTGGACTTCACTGTAATTGACTGTTAGCTAACTTTGGGGAAAACAAAAAGTGTTTGGTTTACTAAGTGTACCAGAAGTGTACAATTATACCCCAGTTTCTTTCTAAAACCACACATAAGGTACTGAGAATTTTCAGGTGATTTATTAATTGTCCAGAGGTGTTTGCCACTCCTGAGTGGAGTCTTCAGTGGACAGACGTACCCAGGGTGGTGGACGAGAGGATGGTATGAATGCTTGGTTTTTGCCTGCTAGGACAGGTTGAACACACTGCTCAGAGATAATCTCTTCCCTTCTGATAGGTGGAACAAAAGGCTGAGTGTTCTTAGAAGTTCCATCTATTTTCTTTATTTCTTTAGGTATTTGTTAATTTTGCTACTGAGGAGGAGCGCCCTCTGCACGCTACTCTGGATTCGCCCACCGAGGGTCACCGCCCATCTCACCTGCCTGTGTAGCCAGTAAAGGAACAGATCCTGGTGTTTTGTTGTGTTGGATGCCCAAGCTTCAAACAGCAATGCACCTGAGAACACAGAGGGCATCCAGCCTTCGTCTCTCCTTCTTTGTCCATTTCTGAGACTCTTGATTAATAACCTGCAGACTGAAAGGTCATTCTTTTCTGTAGACTTTTGGATAGCTCCACACCCCGACAGGGGTTATACAGTTGCCAGGCTGGGTGGGTACTGAATTCTTTGGGATGAAGGTGCAGATATGTAGACAGCGTTCAAGCTGAGACTCCCTGGGTGTGAAACCTGATCCCACTTGATCTTACAAGGTTAACTTTTGCTTTGAAAGACACGGAGCTCCTCCCCGACACTGTTCGCAAACTTTCCCAACTTGCTTGTGTTGAGAACATCGTCAAGGGCTGTTTCCTATTTTTGCCATCTTCCCACTAGACCTGCCTGCATGGTTTTAAATAAAAAGTAAAAACTCAGTGACTTTTTTTGGCTTTTTGAGACAGGATCTCGCCATGCAGTTCAGGCTGGCCTTGAGCTCACTTTGTAGACCAGGCTGTCCTCAAACTAGCAACAATCCTCCTGCCTCAGCCTCCTGAGTGCTGGGATTACGGGCATGCACCACCATGCACCACCATGCACGGCAAAACTCAGTGATTTAAATGCAAGCTTTTCCTAAAACTGGATGACACTATGCCGTATGATGTGGGAAAATTGCCAATTTCTTCATACAAAAATGCTTTTTAAAATTAATAATTAAAGAGCATTTTTGATCAACCTATTAGCACAATTAAAGTAACTGAGCTAGTTTTTATGTCATTTTTGATAGTTTTACGAGAATCTCACATAATTTCCATAATTTTATGTGATTACAGAAAAAAAATAGAATGTGACTTTGTTTCTTAATTTGGACAAATAATTGCTTTATTGTTATTCCAAGATCTGTGGTTTCACAAAGCCTGATGGTTCTCATACTGTATTGGGATCTCCGGGAGTTTGGTAGAAATGCTGGTTCCCAGGCCTCCTCCTTGAGCTGGTGACTTCCAAATCCTGGAGCTGGAACCTTGGGATTGAAACAAATGTGTTCCAATTTGAGATCCGGGAACACATCTAGGTACTGTCTAACTATACAAGCAAAGTCAGCAGCGTAGACAATAACATTAGCCTTCTAAGTTTTTCTAAAAATTATGTCATTCTCAGAATTGTTGTCCTTAAAGATGTGGCTCTCACAGGTCATGTTAACCTGATATTTTGCATCTTATGGCTATAAAACATAAGAAATCAGTGGCTCTTCCACTGAAAACAATTTCTTGCTGCACATTCCGGGGCATCTGTCCGGCAGCTTTTTTCTATGACCTCAGTAGACCACCACGTTCATTTGACCCTGAAATTTGGCCATTTCCAATCCGAGCACTGGAGACTGGGAGCTCGTGATGGAAGGAAAACCCTTCATTGTGACATGGCTTTACTAAAACCAGATTTCATGATATCTGTCTTTCCGGATGATGATTTTATATCGGAGATAGAGTTTAAATGATAGGAATTAAGTCAATCATGGGTAGTTTTTACACAAGCCACTCTGAGTCTCAAGTGTCACAGAAGTTATGCATCCTGAAAGAGTTACAGTGTAGGTTCTATGATCTTTTTCTACAATTCTAATGTAGTCTCGTCCTTGAAATGGAAGATGTGATCATTTTGGTTGTTGAATCCATAGATATCAATTTGTGAAATATGAATATATTTATACTACAGTGAATAAATGAGATGCACTGTAATACAACCTGGTTCTTGGAATGTAGCTGTGCTTTTGCCAATTTATTTCTTTGCATCTTTATTTCTGTCTTTAGGGATCCAATTTAATTTAGGTAAGGAAGAAACAAAACTACTCTCCAGATCTTTAAACATTAAGGTTAAAATTTAATTGAGGTTGGCTCTGCTGTATTCTGCTCTTTGAACTGCTGTATTCTTGAAGTTTGTGCTTCAAGGTACGCTTTTGAACAATAAACAGGAAGAAAGAGAAACCCAGTGTGCTAAGGTACCACATCCCAGAAGACTGGACACAAAGGTCAAGTCTTATGCTAATGTTGAAAATAGCAATGCATATAAGTCATGTGGATATTTTATGTCTTTGGAGTTAAACATTGTCTTCAGACCTTTGGGCTGAAGGTCACATTTAACAAACCATTCTTAAACCACTTATTTTTGAGACTGATTTTTGAGTATTGTATAAGGTAGAGGTAACAGGAATCATTCCAGTTCCAGTGATCTGGCATTTACTATATAGTTTATCTTTTACCCAGATATTTAAACAAATGATATATTAAAGCCTTCATGCAAAAATCAAGATTATGAAACCAAACAAGGAATATATTCTTCAAAGAGAAAAATCAAGGTGGCTAAAGATTACAGTTCGCTTTGTTTGCTGGATCTGAAATTGAAAAATAGCTCAGCGTGACCACTCCAAAATGTCTCACACACACTGCACTCCCCCTGCCTATGCACGGTTAGTATCTATGACAGCAACGTGAATACTAGTTTCATCACTCCTACTAAGTAGGGCAGAGAGTCATTGTGAATTCTCGGACTGATTGGAGCGTGCTTCTCCTCTGGCTTTTCCTTTAGTTTGTTCCATTAGCTCAACTCAAGGTACTTTTCTCTATGGAGTGTGATAACGGACTTTATTCACATACTTGAATAATTCAAAGTCCTTTTGTAATACATTGAAACACATGCACACACACACACACATGCACATGCACATGCACAAGCACATGCACACGCAATGCACCAAAACACATATCCATTCCTTTAATATTGAGTGAACCCATCTTGTATACAAAAGTAGATGGTGGGTACTGTAATAATCACAGCAGTGGTGGACGGACAGATATAAAATCCACCATATTTTCTTTGAGGAGCTGACAGCAGGTAGAGATGGCAAGGTGACAGTACAGGCCATGGAGACCTCTGCTGTAGGCCACACAGCCATCTCCTGCAATCAAGGGTGTGAAAGCAGACGTGGTAAGATGGTTTCCACTTGGCTGGACCTTTACAGATGGAGACTGGGGAACTGGGCATTTAAGAGAATCTCAGAGCAAATCAACAGTATTAAATAAGCAATGGAGGTTTACTATTGCTTTGGAGGAACCTAGTACAGGAGTTCTAAAGGGGCCTCAGATCTCTCAATTTTAGAACTATAATTTTTAGCCAGACTTCTGCTCACCCTAAAATGAAACAAAAATTCTGATTCTATGTCAGAGGAACCAAGAAGACACTGGGTACACAGCCAGCAATCTCTACTGCAGGAACACAGAGGTTTGGGGCCATTCTGCATGGGAACAGAGCTGCTATAGGAGGTAGGGGGGGTGACAAAACTTGCCAGAGAGGCGAAGGGACCCATCAATGTCAAGGTCCCAGGGTGGAGCTATATGATTCCCAGGATCCCATACGTAGAACTTTCGGCCTCCCATGAGATGTGGGCAGCATAAAAGAGATGGGACACCCCCAAGAGCCCACTGCCATGGTTCCTCATGGTAGCCTACCCTGCTTCTAAATGCAGGGTGCACTTTTATTTTAACTATCCATCCTTTTCTATCATTTTCTCTGCTTGTTTGGCCCAAGGTTGCTCTGCAGCGCTAAAGCTTCCTTATCTCTTCACCCCTTGTTTTCAAATAAACTTTTAGCAATGTTTGGCTAGTTTTGTCCTCCTTTGAGACAAGAAGGAACTGGGATACTTTTGTTTGGCAGGCCATTTTCAAAGGAACAACCTGACAACAGAATAAATTCAATTTGATCATGTTCAGCAAATTAAGTAATGTCAAATTATGTGGCTCTCTTTATAGGAGTCCAGGTTCAAAGAATATTACTGTATCCAGGATTAAGATTGTATTTTAAGATCTATAGAGGAGATACTATTTATCTTTACAAATAAATGGGGTAGATGAGCAAAAGAAAAATATTTCATATATTTTTCACTTCATCTGTGTTGGTTTGGGGAATATTGCAAGGAAACAATATAAAACAGGACACACAGGCTATAAGATTGTTTATAATAGTCACCCAAAGAATAATATACAAGAGAGTACTGAAATCTGTCCACACACTATAGTCCAAAAATCCAGCTTAGGGCCTGGACCCTGAGATAATGTCCTGCAGGGGTCCAGGTGAAGACCTAGAGCCCATAACAATGCCTCCCATAAATCCACCTGGAGGTTCAGAGCCCATGACAACATCTCATGCAGCCTGTTTCACAGATCTAAACTGGGAAGGCCCAAAGGTCGGTGGTGGAATCTAGAAAGTCTGTGCCAGCAGGATGAAGGATCTGTGCTGGCAGGCTGAAGGGTCTGCACCGGAGCCAGGAAGCGATGCACAAAGTAAGAGCCAGAGCTCCCCTGAGAAGTACCACAGCCATCCTCAGCAACAGTGAAGTCCCGAGCTCCTCTGATGATAACAGCTGAATTCCCATCAGGAAAGCCAACGCAACAAGCTTCCCCAGGAGACTGAGCAGTGTACCATCTTCCCCTCTGGAACCAGGAAGCGATGCTCAAAGTGAGGACCAGAACTCCCCCAAAGTGAACCAAAGCCATTCGCAGTGATATTGACATCCCAAGCTCCTTGGGCGATGACAATAGCTTAGTTCATCAGGAAAGCCAACATGACAAGGTCCGCCAAAAGAACCAACAGCTCCTTACAGCTTCCACCAGCTACAATGGCCTTTTTCAGCTCCCAACAGCCTCTCTCTTCTCCCAACAACCTAACTTCTCCAGTTCTGCCTCTTATGCTGCTGGTAACAATCCCCAGGTGGGCCTCCCACACCCAGCACCATCCTTACTCAGTTCAGTTGGGGCTTATAAGTTGACCACCAGTTGTCATTCCACTACAGTCTCAAATAGTGTTGCCATTTTGTGCAGTGAGAATTCTCATGGAGAGCTTTCACGCGTAACTGTCTCTTGCTGGAATGGGTTGCAAGAGGCTGCAAGGAATCAGGCATGCTTTTCTTAATTATTTGCTGTTGTTTTCTATCACAAAAGATACATTTCACCCTTTAATCGATGAATGCAACACAGTTTTTGACACATTAAAATGTTTAAGGAAAATGGGTCCACTGAATCAAATGTACATCTGAAGCCTGACAAAATTCACCCACTTAACTTATTTCATGAGCACACCCATCTTTCCAATGGAAGGTGAAGTTGCGGTCACCATATTTGTCCCTGTGTGGATGGAGCTTTGTACTGGGCAGTGGTGTCTGCTCCTGAAGTGTGTGGACCTGGTCCCAGGCAGAACCCTGTGGGCACTAGTGCTTGGTGAGATCTTGGTTCCTTCTAATCCCATTTGAAATTGGTGTCATTTTGGAGTTGTTCTGCCCAAATACAATTGCATGAAAACTTTGTTGGCCTTAGCATAAATTAAAGTGAATTAATCATGGGAGGGTGATCCAAGAATATGGTAAATGCTTAATTTTTTAAAAAATTGTTGCACAGAAACACACATTGCTATAAATCTCCCTTAAAATAATCCATCTAA